CTACGGCAATAAGCTAATAATACCCGACAAGACAATACCAGTCAAACGGTATAGTCACCATAACTACAACATTCATCTTGAGTTTTTATTCATGACTTGCACAACTCGAGCCAGCTACCTAACTAGGTAGTTGTGGCAGGTTAAAATCTCAAAAGAAAGAAGACATACCTATTAGCAGCTGATGAACAATAACTAAACCTTGGCACATATGGTTGTGTTACCTAACTTTAGGATAGCCGTTGAAAGAGTGATAGAGCCTGAGACGATAAGCGCATGCCTATACATCCGAATAATAGATTTGCATGATTCAATAGATCAGTATCGAGCGCACCCCAAAAGCTAAATCTATAAATCTATAAATGCCTGTCGACTTGGTTGCTCCACCAACTCCAACTACGGTTCTGTCCACATACACTTTTCGCCCTGGAAGTTATACACTTCTAGTTTTCTTCACACGGCGTCTTTAGAAACAAAAGAAAAGTAATCGAGACGAAGCGAAATAAAGGAACGAACAAATCATCAAACGACCGACAAGTACAAGGCCTAGATTCTCCATACCTTTCTTTCCATGAAACCTATAGCTTGACTCGAGCTTGGATCATCGCCCAAGAAACAAGAAACGCGCTGCGTAAGAATCACGTGACAGGGAGCTTCCACTTGGATCATTAACGCGACCTCACTTTTTCTCGCGTCGTCGCAACCTCCTGTCATCAGTTCCTCGTTATTTTCGCTTCTTTCGTCACTCTAGATCGCGCATCCATCAACCAAGATGGCCGAGATCAAGATTGACAGTAAACTCTTCCAGGAGCGCATTTCGCACTTCGCCACAGCCTGGAAGAATGACCTACGCTCCAAGGATGGCCTGTTCAACGGCGCCCAGTCTCTGGTGGTGATGATGGGCAAGGTTGAGGAGGTCCCCGAATTTCACAAGAACAATGCGATTCACGTATGCGACTACGAAACAACCCCGAACTTTGGATGCGATCAATTTGCTGACACAATACTATAGTTCTGGCTTCTTGGATACGAATTTCCAACAACCCTGATGTTGTTCACGCTTGACACTCTATACATTCTCACAACAGCAAAGAAAGGTTAGACACATTGATCATTCCACTAAATCGGATTGCACTGACCGTGACTCAGCCAAACATCTCGAACAGCTTAAAGGCGGCCGATTCCCAATCGAAGTGCTCGTGCGAGGCAAGGACGCCGCGGAGAACGAGAAGCTCTTTATTAAGCTTACCGATAAGATTAAGGAGGCAGGAGTAAGTCGGTCGCCATTCAGAGTTTGAATATTTCTAACGACTGTGTTTATAGAACAAGGTTGGCACAATCGCCAAAGACACCTCCCGAGGACCCTTCGTCGACGAGTGGAAGAAGGTGCTCGCCGAACACTGCAAGGAGGTTTCCCAGGTCGACATCTCTGCGGCCCTTTCCACATACGCCTTTGCCGTCAAGGATGAGAGTGAACTCCGAGCGATGCGAACTGCCTCCAAGGCCTGTGTTGCCTTGATGACCCCCTACTTCCTCGACGAGATGTCCAACATTCTTGACGCCGAAAAGAAAGTCAAGCATTCCACGTTGGCCGACAAGGTCGACAAGAAGCTGGACGACACCCAGTTCTGGAAGACCGTGCAGCTTCCTAGCAAGGGCAAGCTTCCATCTGACCTGGATCCCGCTCAGCTAGACTGGATTCTGGGGCCAGCGATCCAGAGTGGTGGCAAGTACGATCTTAGGTTCGCGGGCGAGTCCAACGACGACAATCTCCATGCAGGCATCATCATCGCAGCTATGGGTCTCCGATATAAGTCTTACTGCTCAACTATTGCACGAACGTACCTAGTCGACCCCAACAAAGCTCAAGAGAGCAGCTACAAACTCCTCACCCTAATTCACAACACCATCATCAAGGAGATTCGTGATGGCATGACGGCAAAGGAGGTGTACGGAAGGGCTGTTGGTATCATCAAGAGCAAGAAGCCAGAAATGGAGAAGCATTTCCTCAAGAACGTTGGTTGGGGTGTCGGATTGGAGAACAAGGACCCCACCCTCGTTCTCAACGCAAAGAACCAGAGAGTTCTCAAGGACGGCATGACCCTTATCATCAACACAGGTTTCCAAGATATTGAGAACCCACACCCCCAGGACAAGAACAGCAAAGTGTACGCGCTGGTCCTGACTGATACCATCAGAGTTACTTCGTCGGAGCCTGTGGTTTTCACTGCCGAGGCGCCTACAAGTGCCGATGCCAACTCTTTCTTCTTCAAGGATGACGAGGAAGCCGAGCCTGCCCCCAAGAAAGAGAAGAAGGACTCACGTGTTGGTGCTGTTGCTACGAAGAACATTACAACCACGAGACTTCGCTCAGAGCGCACAACTCAAGTCGCTAATGACGATATCGAGAAGAAGCGACGCGAGCATCAAAAAGAACTTGCAGCCAAGAAGCAAAGGGAAGGTCTCGCTAGATTCTCCGAATCCACAAATGACCAAAACGGAGGCGAGGTCAAGAAGTTCAAGCGTTTCGAGTCTTACAAGAGAGACAATCAGTTTCCCCCAAAAATCAAGAATCTCGAGGTTGTTGTTGACAGCAAGAATAACACAGTCGTTTTGCCTATCATGGGACGACCTGTGCCTTTCCATATCAACACCATCAAGAACGCCAGTAAGAGCGACGAAGGCGAATGGTCTTTCCTGCGTATCAACTTCCTGTCCCCTGGTCAGGGCGTAGGTAGAAAGGATGACCAACCTTTTGAGGATGCTTCGGCGCACTTTGTCCGAAGTTTGACCTTCCGATCGTCCGATGGTGAGAGATACAATGAAATAGCAACTCAGATCTCCAACATGAAGCGCGATGTGGTTAAGAAGGAGCAGGAGAAGAAGGATATGGAGGACGTCGTTGAGCAGGATAAACTTGTCGAAATAAGAAGTGAGTCAGCCTTGAAATGTTTGTGATCAGACGATACTAACTAATACCTAGACCGACGTCCGGCTGTATTGGACAACGTCTATATCCGTCCTGCTATGGAGGGCAAGCGAGTTCCAGGAAAGGTTGAGATCCATCAGAACGGTATCCGATACATCTCACCCCTGAACGCTCAGCACAGAGTAGATGTGCTGTTCTCAAACGTCAAGCACCTTTTCTTCCAGCCTTGCCAGCATGAGCTGATTGTCATCATCCACATTCACCTCAAGGATCCTATTATTGTCGGTAACAAGAAGAAGACAAAGGATGTTCAATTCTACCGAGAAGCGACAGACATCCAGTTCGACGAAACGGGTAACCGTAAGCGCAAGTACCGATATGGTGACGAGGATGAGTTTGAGGCAGAGCAGGAGGAACGCCGCCGAAGAGCCGAGTTGGACCGCTTGTTCCAGGGCTTTGCGCAAAAGATTGCCGAGGCTGGCCGAAACGAAGGTATCGAGGTTGACATGCCTATCCGCGAACTTGGATTCCACGGTGTGCCATTCCGAAGCAACGTCTTTGTTCAGCCCACCACCGACTGTCTTATTCAGGTTGTTGAGCCTCCCTTCATGGTCATCACCATTGAGGAAGTTGAAATCGCCCATCTGGAACGTGTTCAGTTTGGTTTGAAGAACTTTGATATGGTCTTCGTCTTCAAGGACTTTACACGGCCCCCATACCACGTCAACACTATTCCTGTCGAGTTTCTCGACCAAGTCAAGGACTACCTTGACTCTTCAGATATCGCCTACACAGAAGGTCCTCTTAACCTCAACTGGCCAACCATCATGAAGACCGTCACAGCAGACACCCACCAGTTCTTTGCCGACGGTGGGTGGTCCTTCCTACAGGCTGATTCAGATGATGATGGCGGTGACCCGTCTGACGAGGAGTCTGCTTTCGAGATGGATGAGGACGAGTTTGATGAGGAGTCCGAATCCAGCGACGAAGGCTCCGACTTTGGCAGCAATGCCAGTGACGACGAAGATGAGGATGCTGAGCTTGACAGCGACGATGAGGGTGAAGATTGGGATGAGCTAGAGCGCAAGGCCAAGAAGCGAGACCGTGAAAGCGCCCTGGAAGAGGAAGACCGCGGTGCTAACAAGAAGAAGCAGCGCAAGCGCTAAACGGTAGACCGGCGTGAACTTGGGACTACGGGGTTCTGGTTTATTTGCTTCCCAATATTTGTACTAAAACACGCAATCTTTTTGATTTTTACTTTATGTGTGGGCTCTCGCGGTCTTTTGATGGGACAATATGGAGCAGCATGCCTAAAATAGCTATTGTTGGTGAGAGGATGGTGCTCTTTCCAGTGTATGTCGAGATGACCAGGATCGGTCAAGGACAGTTGTATCAAGCAGATTAAGATAAGGTAATTTTATGATTTTAAAGCAATCTTGGACAAAATTCTTTCACAGGTTATTTCGAGTATAATTTGAAAAGCATGTATGTCAGTGACTGCTTGAACTTCAAATGTTGTGGTTATCTTCACATCCTTTTCAAGACAGCATTCGTAAACAGTTGAATTCATTCTATCCTTGATTCCGAGTCGCAGCGCGCCAAACTCCCTACCCATATAAATACGTACGAATCATACAATCCACACTCTTTCTCCGTCCCATTTTTTCTCAAGCTTTTTTGAAAGCATGGGTAGGCAAGACGCCGCTATGCCACGAGGGAATCTTGTTGGAGTCAGGCGTTTGCTACCCTTCCAATGCCCAAAAAAGAAAACAGAAGAGTCGGAGACTGCAGCAATGACTAGTCGCACAGTAAAAGTAAAAGACAAAGGGCCACATGAGCAATGAAAACAAATGGCGATATCCAAAAAAACCAAAAACATGATTCAGAGCACCATCTCTTGGTACCCAGCAGTCAACGCCGAGTGCTTGTTTCGCGTATCCGACTACACGCCTGACCTGGACGAGGACGACATAGGTAGGAGAATCCCACCTGTTGCGTTAGGCGGGGACTTGAGAGATGCAGAGGCTGGACTTGAAGGATCTTCGAGAAGAGCGCGAGCATCGTCACGAGCTGACTAGGCCTCGCCAGGACGGAGATCGCGACCGGAAGCGACAGCCGTACTGGGACCAGACTTGGCGCCAGGGGCGTTGTTCCACGAGAGATAAGTGTGATCACCCAATTTTCTATTGCCAGGTTAGTAAGAAGAATGCTCACGGCCACGCAGAAGACAAACCTGGGTCGGATAAGATGAGTGACTGTGAAGACAGTACCGAGAAGGATGCAAACACCACCGACGACAACATAAGCGATGCCGAGGAAGGGGTTGCGTCCTCCAATAACGGTTCGGGTAGAGATAATGATGGACTTGGAACCCTTGTACTCTCGAGTCGGGAAATCTGGTCTGGGGTTAGACGAAATGTCCTAGCAACGCTAGCAACTGACTTACGGTCATCGATGATAAGATCATAGGTTCCTGGCCACATAGCCTGGGTGTTGTTACGCTGGTAAAGCTTGCTAAAGGTGGGAAGACCCGCTGTACGCATCCAGACCTGGAAAGCTTCCCATTCTTTGAGGTTAGGAGGAGGAGTATCTTTGGTGTATCCATCGGGGTAGCGCTTTTGCCAGTTGGGAGGCGGCACAATTTCATCGTAGCTATACTCGGTCTCTTTGTAAAGATCTTTGTCACTGTCCCATGAGATACCCGAGTTGTTGCTCATCTGGTAGATCCATGTCTCGTTGCCACTGACCCCTGGGGGGTTTGTAAGCTTGGGGCTAGTGAAGGTGTCGTTGAACATGGAGTTGGCGATGAGACCACAAGGGTAGTAAGGCTTGTCTCCCTCTCCATATAGGGGAGTGCAATCGGAGTTACGAATATCGCTGATGGATCGCTTTGAACCCTTGAGCTGGTCCGTGTCGAAGGAGAGAACGTATCGACGATGATTCTGGTAGAAATTGGTAAGGTGGTAGTAGAAAAGAACCGGAGGACCCATCTCTTCTGGGATGGTAAACTTGAGATGGCATCGAGGGTTGAAAGTTTTAACACCGTTGTCAAGCGTGGTGCTGACGTTGACCTCGCGCGCCCATTGAGCATTCACAGAACTGTTAGAACTCTTGAATGCAGTGCTGACGGCGCTGCCAGGTATTGCTGTAAAGTTGCTTCCACCTCTACTACGAATGGGAGCATCGACAATGCAGTTGGTATAGTCGAGTCGAATCTCTTGGACCTGGGTTTGCGCATTAGAATGAAGTGGTAAAGGTGGTTGGAGTTTCAGGGAAATTGTACCTGAGAGCTCGCGTACAACAGCAGACCTCCGATGGGAGCGAATATAATTCCAATGGCGAAGAAGAGAGGCAGGACAGTCTTTGGTGTGAGGATAGGCCTGTCGCATTGTATCAGCATCGAAGGGGCGATTGAGCAGATGGGATAAGGGTAGCAATGACATACTGCCAGGCCTTTAGACGTTGCTGTCGAAAGGCAGTATCTGAGATGCATCAATTAGCATTTATTGTTCTCCTTGTATGTATTCATTCGTGCATGGCTTGTTTATATGAAGCGCATTATTTTGAGGCGCACTCACTCGCAGGGCGGCGACTCTTCTTCTTGTCCGGCTGCTTCGGGCCATCATTTGAGTCGATGGAATCAGTGTGGTCGATGCCACGGGGTTGTTCGTCGGCCATTGTATCGTCGGCAGAATCGATCTATCGGTCTCGTTCGATGCGCGCGATGTAATATAATATCGTTGATAAAAGACTCGGAGTTGCGAGGGGAGGAAAAATATGCGACCCTCTTGTGAAGCTGACGGGGATAGAATGGAACGGTCGCGCTGTGGCTCGTGAAGCCTTACGTGTGTATTGGAGGAGTACGTACCCTTCCTTCATCCGAGCCTCCTTATGCAAATGAATGTAGCTAAAGGGCAGGTGGAGTAGGCTGTGCCCCCCATGAAAGAGTCGCAGGAATCCAGTGGTTGGCGGGGAGTAACTAACGCCCCAGTGGAAAAGTCCCCTGAAATATACCCTGCCGTTAGAGAGGTTGAACACTGTAAATTAGCTTTAACAACGGAAATCCCATGCAGAGCTTTATTTTTGTGATACGCTTAATGCTACTGATTTAATGAAAGTTACAGATCTTGACTGTTGGAGTATGTTCTCGATGGTTAATTGTTCATGTTATCAATCAAGTTACAGTAGGTATCCTTGGAACAATGCATTCATTACTCGATCAATTTCAAATCAGTAACAGTTGCACAAACCAATCAGCAAAAGACACCGAGTACAACAATCACAAAAAGAAAACACCGACGCAGGCCTGATTCGAACAGACGCCTCCGAAGAGAATAGATTTCTAGTCTATCGCATTAGACCACTCTGCCACTGCGCCTTTTGTGTGAAAAATAAATGTGTGTCACGGAAAATGAACCCTGATTTCGTGGAAGTCTGGTCAAGAATGCTGAAAACAATTCATAGCAACGTGCCTATCTAGAATCACAAGCACCGTGGTATTAACTGAGTTGGCCTAATATGTTTTAAGGAGCTTCCTATAAGTCATAAATGGATACCTAGGCTACAATCATGTATGCAATGCGTCCAAGTGACGAGTTTCTGTTCTTCCTTCATCACAATATTATGCGTATATATATAATTACATGAGTATGTATATACGCCTCTTTCTCCTTCTCTCACTCTCCTCCGATTCCTCTTCTCTCTATCTCCTCTTTGAGTGCCGTATCCAAGCCGCCCCCCTTTCCGCGCAGACTCTTTCCAGCAACAGTCAATGCCTCAATAACTGGGGGGATAAAAACTAAATAAAATAGGTCAAAACGTGTACGCTTATGTGTATGTACGGGCCTGTCGACTGTAATGCGATAGCTGAAAAATAAAAGAGAAAGCATCCATCCCAAAAGGTGAAGGGTTAACAATAGTTCTGGACGCGCATAAGAAGAACCCCAAGAACCCAGAAAGTATCAGGCCGTCATTTTCCTGACCCACCTCCTGCTGTTAAATGAACAAAGAAAAATGCTAAACTCCGGAAAAAGAGATATCCTCCCGCTAAACTTTTGCAACTTGAAACAAATAAAGGATGTATGTGGAATAAGGTAGTGTTGTGAGATGGGTATGTCGTTAGGTGTGCGATACGTCGTTTTGCTGATGTTCTCAAGATGGGTCTCGGCATAAATATCGATTAAAGGTGTCATCAGTGTTTCTCCTTAGGTGCACCATTTTCTCCCTCCCTATGTGGCTGAACAGCATGACCATTTACTCTCGCTTTTGGCTTGAGCGAAGACGAGCGCTTCTCGTTCTCTGGCTCCTCGGGGATTGTCGCAAACTTTTTGAGAACTTGCTTAAGAGCCGGTCGTCGGATAGGTTTAGCAAGAAACTCATCCATACCAGAGTCAATGCATTCCTTGACATTGCTCTCTTCGGAAAAGGCTGTCAGGGCAACAATGGGGGATTTGTAACCCATCTCTCGAATAAGTCGGGTACTTTGTAGTCCGTCAACATTCGGCATTTGGACATCCATAAAGATCACGTCAAAAGACTGGTTTTTCTCCATTGTCGCCTTGACAAGATCGTATGCTTCCTGGCCATCTTTTGCAATGGTCACATCGTAAACGTCCTCAAGTTTCAGCATGCGGCTGACAACTTCAATGTTGGTCGAGTTGTCATCTGCAACCAAAACACGTACTCTTTGACCATTCTTGTTCGCCATGGCACGGTCAATTTCAGCCATCTTTTGCTGTGTACTCTTGACAGCTGGAGGGTTTGCAGCAAAATAAGGTTGGCTCAGGCCGACTAAACGAGGTTGAGGGTTGAGAGCCCCCGCCGACTTCGTCTCGGCGGCAGGCTTGGGAGTGCTAGGGGCAGTGCGCTGCAGTTCCAAATCGCCAGCATCTACGCTTGTTGGGCGGGATTTGACACTGCTTGAAGCAGTGCTCGAAGTTCTAGATCTAAATATTAGTACAGACACACGCATCATTGGCGGTAAGAGCTTACCGGTCTTTTACATATTTCAGTGGAATATGCATAGTGAAGGTTGTGCCCACGCCCACAGTACTCCGTAACTTGATAGAACCTCCCATAAGGCCTGCAAGCTGGTGGCAGATACTCAAGCCAAGACCAGTACCACCAAACTTCTTACTCAAACCGAGATCTCCTTGGACGAAAGGCTCAAACACCTTTTGCTGCATGTGCTCTGGGATACCCGGGCCAGTATCTTGAACCTCAAACTCGAAGACGTATGATTTGGCACCTGGAGGAGGCGGCGTCGGTGATCGCTCGCGGACTTGCACATGAGGCGTCGCCTTCGGGTCCCTAGGGTTGATAGAGAGTGCGGTTCCTGTACTGCTGAATTTCTGTGTCGAGTTTCGGCCTGAGCCTCCTGAATTCGCTGAGCTGGCGCTCCCACGCTGTCGAGGGCGTCCCGTCCGCGAGTTGTTTCGTGAGTTCTTGGATATTGACGATGCTCGACTATCATTCTCGGCAAGTGCCTCTGCTTCTCCAAGACACTTGATGCGAACCGAAACACTTCCATTGTGAGGCGTAAACTTTAGACTGTTGCTCACCAAGTTGATGATGACCTGGAGTATACGGTGCTGGTCACCCCACAAGCACATATCCTTGAGTCTTCCAGTTCCGTGGGGGCCCAGTGCTGGCAATCTCGTCTCGCCATTTGTTCGATCTGGACTCGCACTGAAATCGACGTTATCGGAGCTAATGAAATCTACCGAGAAATTGATCTTTCCTTCTCGAACCTGTTTGTCAAAAATGGTCAAGATTTGTGATCGGATATCAGCCAGGCGAAACTCTCTCAACTCGAGGCTGAGTTGTTGGCCAATCTGGTTCTTGGAGAAACTCAACAAATCCTCCAAAAGATGAAGTAGTAGGTCGCCCGATTTGTAAAGTGTCTTCAACGACTGCTTGATCCTCACAATGTCATTCTCCTCCATGCACACGGCGCACATGCCAAGAATGCCATTTAAAGGGGTCTTGAGCTCATGAGAAATGTTGGCGATGAACAACGTCTTGCTTTCGTTGGCTGCCTCTGCAGCTTTCTTGCTCTCCTCCAATTCTCTGGTGCGCTCGGCAACCTTGACTTCGAGAGATAGATACTGCTTCACTAATTCGTCGCTCATGTCGTTGAAGGTCCGTGTCAATTCGGTAAGCTCATCTGTGACAAAGTGTTTTCGATCATCGACCTTGGCAGGGATCTTGAACATCCGACGGGCCACATCTCGATTCGAGCTGGGTCCATTCGATTTGCCCTGAAGTCGTCGGATAAATTTGGCTATAGGTCCCTTCTTTTTCGATCGTCGTGATTGGCCTCCAGAGCTTGGAATTTCGTCATCAAATTCAGAGTCGGAGTCGATAAACGAGTCTTCGTATCCTGGGGGGTTGATCGACTTTTCTGTGGCAGCCTTGAGTTTTCGAATAGGCAAAACACTGACGTGAGCACAGGGAATGATAATTAATGCTATCAAACCGACAGTGCCAAAGACAGTGCCAAGAAGGATATTCCGCAAAGTGTTTATCGGCTTATACGCCTCCCATTTGGCTTTCTCGACAATGACTGTCCAGTTTGCTAGGGGGGTCTGAGTTCGAGCAAAGCCAACAGCGACACGGGAGTTTTGTTCATTGTGAGTATTTATTAGAGAACTGGCGTTGCTGACTGTGTCGTAATGCTTGGTGAATGAATCGAATGCTGCTGGATAATTCTTTACCGGAAATGCCCTGTTGCCATACTCGCTGACAAACTTATGAATGTCGTGAAGATCCTTGTGCCCCTCTGGGCTCTTTGGGGGAAGGACAAATTTGACAAGGACATTGCCAAATTTATCACGGTCAGGGGTGTATGTGGCATTGCTTGCTGGCTGTGTCTTGTTGAAGCGGTTGGATCGGTCCGTTGGGCCAATAAGTAGAACTGTACCTGTCTCGCCCAGTCCTTCACGGGACTCCTGAATCGCAGTGAGGGATTGAGCAAGAGTGACAACGCTCATATAGCCCAGAATAAAAGTATCGTTATTGTCGCGAACAGGAATGGTCACGGACAAGAGAGAAGCCGATTCGTTAAGAACCAGAGGACCAAGTAATAAACCTCCATCGCGAGCAATTCGAACATCATCGAAAGCCTCGGCTGCATATGCGGTAGTGTTATTCCGCACATTGTTCGGCCGCTCGAGATCAATATATGTAAGATTAGGGAACAGGCTTGGGGGGTAACCCAGGCCAGTGTCACCAAGGAAAACATTAGATCCTGCCGAATCCTTGTAGGGGAGTTCAATCTCTGGTACCGAAAGAGATGTCACATTGAGCAAAACGCCGCCTTTGGTTTTTGTGTTGTTTCTCGAATACAGTCTTATCTGCAGCAAGCCCGATGTCGTGCTGACAGAAAGTGCGCTTTCGAGATCCGCACGGGCATCTGCCCACTCATTCCTGCCAGTGTTGTAGTAGTTGGTGAGTGCATTCTGGACGAGAATTCGAGAGGAAATGGTCATGGCGATGGTTTCAATAAGATCAAGCTCTGCCGAAATCCGGGACGCCTTGAGAGAAGCTGTAAGTTGCAGGCCATCGCGCTCGATATCGACGACAAAGCGGTTGACATAAATCCATGTTGGTATAGAGACAATTGCGAGGGAGACGAGGACGGCGAGAAGGACGAGGGCCGCAAGCTGCTCACGAATGGCGATGCGCATGATAGGCAGGCTAAAAGAAAGGATGCGAGGGTCGAGCGCGACGACGCGGCATCGTCAACTTTGTTGGAAAGTAGTCAGTTCAAGGCGCAGACGATGGGATAATGGTCGAAGAAGTCGTGCTCGAAAGGTCCGATGAAGCCAAAGGGCAGTTGCACGGGGCGAAGATTAGGCTCGTCTCGGCGCCTGCGATCTTGGATAGAATTGGGTGGATGCCAAGCTTCAACGTGGTCCCCTCTTGTCGTCGCTATCGCCGTCGTCCAGAATAACTCAAACTACTCGTCGCAAAGAGAGGTTGTGATTGTGGACCGATGATCGACAGCACAGCCAAAGGAGGCGAAAGCTTTCTGAGCGTGGGTGTGCTGACTCGGTGTTTCCGGGGATAGCAACCGTTTCAATAGCGACCGAAAGAAGCTGAAGAGTATACCAGGACTGAAAATGCGCGTATCGTCCTTGCTGCTGTTGCTGTCTGTGCCCGTAAGTGCTCGACTCAATATTGCACAGGTTTGCTCTAAAGGAGCGAGTCGTACGAAGTCGCAACTGCAGCTGACGGGACACAAAAGACTGTCCGGGATTTGGGATGTAAGAGCTGGGGAGGAAGGATGGGGATTGGGAGGAGAGTGCTGTGATCAGCGGAGGCTTTTTGGGGTGTGCCGTTTGGTTGGATGGCAGGTACTGTAGCAGTAGAGCAATAAAGCTTGGCCCTTTAGAGAAGCTACCCGACGCGTGGAGGTGCAGGCAAGGAGGTAGTCAGTGACTGGTTTCAGTAGGTATCATTCAGTTTCTGCGATTGATTGTACAGCAATTCTGTCAAGGCTGATGTTCTTTGCAGTCAAACTCTGCCAAGTCAAGATGAATATCAGGCATTCGTTTTCAAATGGAAATGGGACATATCAGAAATACCATCCCCGTCGTTACCGGACTTAGCCCAGTTACAAACAGACATGAAGCGGATTGCGCGGAGATGGGTAAAGCCAATTGAGTCTGGCGCCATGGGGCGGGGAGTTAGAATGGGTAAGCTGCAGGTGGACTATAGTGGACTGTACTGGAAGACAGGTGCATACCTCTATAGAGACCGGAGTAACCCATTGAGTAGTGGTTTGACTTTAAGTTGACATGAATTGAATAGTAGAGACTGTTTTATCATAGTATTCGTTATCCAATTCTTTCCATCAATATCTACTCTTTGAATGCAAGCAGCAATTATCGAATATCTAGTGCTTATTCATTCACTGATCAACATTGAAAGAAAACAAACTCCAAACTAGATTGACTTCGGCTACGGGTGATAAACATTGATGCAAGGATGAAAAGGGTAACGATCGTCTACAGCCTGGCCGATCGCGTGCATCGATTAACACAAACGAGAACGAGAGAGCCCTGTGAGGAGAGAAACAGAGGGAAAGAGAAGAGAATAGCGCGCAGACAGAAAAAGAAACAGATAGGCGGAATTAAGCGGATCTGGATGAATGCGACATGAGACGGTGGTCTCTTCTCCGCTACTGAGAGCCAAAGGTTAAATATTCAAGACCTAAAGAGCTGAAAGACGGATTAGGCCACTACATGAAGTTTAAATGTATACATTAGTACCCAGGAAGCAGAGTATGTATAAAATGTTTGGATTGATTTATTACCTCGAAGAAGACAGTTACTGTATCTCTCTCTCTCTCTCTTTTGTAGACTGGTTTATTATCAATAATGCGGATACTGTTGAAACGGGTTCGATCCACCTCATTTCCAGTGGCAAAGTCGTTGAACTGTCAAATGTGCCTGGACTGTTGCCCAGGAGGACCCTTATGCTTTAGACTGGTTTTTTAGTCAGGGCACTTTTCCGTAGAGGGAATTAGTTGTTTGGTTGGTAAACTCTGATATTATTGAACGGGTTATTTTGCTCTCAGACTGTTTAAACGTTGATAAAGAATAAACTCTGTGTACTTCGTATACTGGTATCCATGGAATAAATATTGATTGGTTTGCGGACATTACGCCCCGGGTAGGTGTTTTGCTCCGTTTATTTTAATTTCCCCATCCAAGCAAAAAGCCAAAAAGCAAGCACCAAACACGCCCCCGGGTAAAAGGCGACAAATTAGCGAACTTTTTTATCCCCTCGCCAAGCCTTTTCTATTTCTCGATCTGACTTTCATCAACAGATCGACAACAACTTTTCTTTCCTTTACTTGGGGAGGCTCCACATTCAAAGACACCTTTAAATAACATGATACGATCCTTGGCGGACGAGGTTCTAGACTCTCGAGTAAGAACCACCACAACCTATCAAAAAGATTATGTATTCAAAAGCCTGTATACAACAATTCTTATTCGAGATGTCTCAGTCTTGTCTTGACAGTTACCGGTGAAGTGGCTGTCTCTGAATATATACATACACATTCCAGTTATAGGCCGTATGGAATGAGGCAATGGAATCACCCGCCATTTTAACAAAGCTCAACCCTCCATCTCCAGTTCTCCCATTCCAACCAAGAAACAATCCCCTTCTCTCTTCATGCCCAACCAAACTGACCCAGCGGTCAGTATCGTCTATTTATCGCATCTTGAATTGTCATCATCCTTGCTTGCCCAGTTCTGCGGATCTCGCGAAAGCCCTGTCCATGTAAATAGGTAGTAGCTTCGCTTCGTCTGTCTCTAGTCACGAATCACCACATAAATGCTGTTCAGCTGACAGGGAACATGACATTTGGAAATTCTTGTTCAAGATGCCAAGTTTTTGTTTCGACTCTTCACACACTAATTAGTCCAACTACCGAGTACAGATCAAAGTCTCCGCTGTAGATACACGAGATCATTACTACCACCTCAGTATCGCTCCATAATCCACTGTCTTCGCTCATCGATATTCAGCTCCTCCAGGACATCCGTCTCAGACTTCTTGATCTCGATGTATCTTTGCACCGCTTCTGCCCCGAGCAACCCTACCAACTCTGTATCTTGCTGCAGAGCCTGGAGCGCCTCTTGTATACTCCGGGGTAACCTTACGCTTATCTTGAGTTCTTCTCTTTCAGACGAAGACAGTAATGCGGGATCCTTTGTGCAATCTCCCAAGACAAGCCCCTCATTGTCGGCGAGTCCCTGCACGCCTGCTAGTATGATCGCTGCCAGCGACAGGTAAGGATTGGCGATCCCGTCGATGCACTTGATTTCCCAGTGACTACCCTCGACCTTGCGCAGGGGCACCTCGCGGTTCTGAGTGCCCCAGGCAACCCAAGTACCACCGGCCCAGCAGCCATCCACGACCCTGTCATAACTAACCTTGCTGCTGTATGTAAATGCCGCGATGGCCCGAAGGTGCTTCAGAATACCGGCGTAGAACGGTTCGTAAACGTCCTTCTCTGATCCAATGGGCGTTGAGATGGAGATATGCATGTGCGCTGCTGTCCCACACTCCGTCTCATATGGCTTGGGATGGAGCGTCATGCGGAATCCTTTTGCTGTAGCACATCCACTGATAACATCTCTTGTGAAAAGAAGATTGTCCACGGCCTCCAGCGCCGGTGCTCTGGGCATGACGAATTCATATTGTCCATTGGAGCTTTCGGGGTGCATCATCTCGATGTATATACCAGCAGCATCAAGTTTCTCGACGGCATCTTCAAGGACTTCAGTCGCCGCTTCATGGTCCATAGCTCGGGTCACCGACCAAGCGTGCCCGTCCGTTTCGAGAGGTTCGTACCCGGCCGTCCCACAGCGACGGAAGAGGACGAGCTCGATCTCGAATCCAAGTGTGAACTCGAGCCCTTGCTTAGCTGCTTGGTCAAGCGTCCTCTTCAAGAGAGTGCGTGTGCAGAGAGACGCAGCAGCTCCGTTCTTCTCCTTGAAGTCACCCATGACTGTGATATATCCCTTTCGGGGGCCAAGGCGAAGAGTGCTTAGATCTGGATGCAGCCTATACTCCCCTGTCGGTGTAACGCTGGGTACTGGACAGTCTCTCTGATCAATGCCAAGGCCAGCCTTAGTTACGCCAAAAGCAAAATCCTCCCCGCTTCGCAATAAAGACCATACACGACGCATGGGAATTGCTCGCACCCTCGACATGGCGGTGTAGTCGGTCCAAGTCACCTGCAAGAACCTTGGTTCCTCCTTATTCTTGAGAAATCGTGAGAGCGTTGCAACATTATTCTGCTCCGAGCATTCAAGCCCATGACTAGAGTTTGTGAGGAGTGGCTTGAATTCCAAGCCTAGGTCGTAGAGCTTGTTTGCGTTATTGAAGAGCATGTCTCGTGTCATCTGGGCTGCTTGTGTCCAAGAAAAGTCTCCCTTGTTGACATAATCAACCAGGACAGTCTGCAATACTTCTCGGAGCTGATCCACGGCTACGATGTAAGTCTCCGGGAAGAAATGCCCATCGGTACTCCAAAGGATCTTTGATGTCGGACAAAGCTCCAGAATTTGTCGGACAACCCCTTCTTGTCCTTCACGACTGATGAAGGGGAACACTTCTCCGATATCAGCGTAAACGTTTGCGTAAACGGTGGCCAGATATCCCAGCTCACGGGTAAATGGATAACTGGCGTGGAGCAAAACAATCGGTACATCTGGGTATGTCTTGATGAACTCCTGTAGATGAGCGGGCGATGACTTGGACAAGGTAATGTCGTTGTCACCCAGACCAGTGTGGAACTGAATTGGCTTTTTATGCTCGTCTTCGCTGTTTTGAACCAGACCGGCCAGGATGTGAAGAAAGTAGTCGTTGAGAGGTTCATGGTCAAGTCTCTCAAATATCTGAGCACCATCCTCTTTTCTGGCGTCAAAGATGAGCTGGAATTTTTGCATGATAATCTCAAGGTCGGTAACTTGAGTGACGGCAAGGCCTGTTCGGTAGCAGATGACCGACTTGAAACCGACGATTTCTGGATCATCAAGAGCATCGTATATGGCATTCATAAAGTTCTCGACAGATCCAGAGAATGCCTCGGAAGGGTGCGAAAATTGTCCACAGGCCTTTTCGATACAATCTGCCGCGACTTCCTCGATACGAAGAATACGCTTGTTGGGGCTTCTCGTGTAGGCATCAAGCGTGTGATAGGGCTCGACATCAGCTGGATCACCCAAGAGATCATCGACCAATATGTTTTCGATTCCTGAGAGACATGTCTTTATCCACTCGTCATAGTTGCCCTTTTGCTTCCTTATCACAGCAGCTTCGACGGCATCCCAGGTCGGCTCAGTGCCGAGGTGACGAGAGAGGAGCGTCACAACGCGGAGATGAGCCAAACTAGTCTTTGAGTCCTCGATGGCATCTCCGCTGGCCTCAGTAGCGATTGATAGAAGAGGGTGTTTTCTTATCGCGCTGAGTTTGAGAAGAGGATGGGCGTGATGGTCAATTATGGGTGTAGTGTTAATGACTCGACGAAGAGCCTCTTCTGTATTGATCATTGGAGCAGTCATTTCTATCGAATACCTTTCAAATGTTGTCGTGAGCCACCGTCTTTGAGTGAGATGCTGTCGATGTCTCTAAATTGCTCAACACAGAGGGTGGACTGACTGGCCCCTCGTGAAATGACGTGATAATGTATTATTGCTTTTTAGAGGCTGGGTTTTGCTGATTAGAAATAAATCAAGGCAAAATAAGTATTTTTGAACGAGACAAATCGATATAAAAGAGATGCCACAGTAAACAGCTTTGTAGTTGCATCAGGTTGGGTGTTGCTGCGTACTAAGTCTCCTTGGGTAGTATTTAGGCCAAGATATTTTATTTATACCCTGGCTTCTCCTCGTTTCACTCATCTTTCGATTTCGAGAACGGCATCTTCAACTGAGACAAACGTGGCGGGATCGAATCAATTAAGCTTTGACCAAAGTTCACCGTGATGGGGTCTCACGTAAACTAAATATATATCGACGAAAAGAAGCCGAGACTTGCAGCTGTTACAGCCTTTGACTATTCTATTACTGGCCCATCTTGCATCGGCATTGCGACGATCAAGTGATGCTAATGCAGCGCGTACATAGTAAAGCTGGCCTTTAGTCTTTATTATTCACTCATAGTAAGCACAAATTTAAACCTATAATCTTTACGTGATACCATGGTTTAGTTTACCTTAGTTTGTAACAAAGGATCTGGTCATTCTGGATGGTTACCTACCTATTCACACATCAACAACCTGATCTGCAGAACAAGCATTGTGTAATCAACACCACGACATGGTTCAACCAACATTACATTTTAAAATACACCAACTATCTTAAAAAAAAACTCGTATTACGAACTGCTGCCCTAGATATTCAGCAACAGGACAAGACGCATGTGAATGTTGTGTTGTGAGACGTTCCAGGGTAACCACATGTGCAGTGTTGGGAATTCTTGTGGCTTTTGAATTTATTCTTGTACACTGATATAAGCACGATTTCACTCCACACCATGCATATTTGTGTATCACCAGCCGTCAGCAACCTCGCCGGGGCCAGTGAAGCTGTCAGAGCTATCAAGAAAGCGGCGGCTATTGCCAGACAAAACGGCAGCCCAATCCACGACCTCAAGCCAAGCCCAAACAATGCCCCCATGCTTGTCTCAAAGATGAGGAACCACAAGATCTCTCCAACTGCCAGCATTCTAAATAGAGTCCCAGTACGTCCTTTGTCTACCATTCCAACTAGCATTGCGCGGCACAGCGTAGGTAGACCAGAGCCGAGAGCCGCGATGGTCAGACCGGCAATAACAAAAGATTCATCTGTGACCATCATCATGCAGAGACAGCCGGCGAAAAACAAAAGGGAACTTGAACGAGCCAGGATGAAGTACCGGAAATGAGCTGACGAGCGAGAGAATCTGGTCCATGTGTAAGTGATGACAGGTAGTAATATGCACAGGGTGAGCAGCGTGACAAGGCTTTGTAGAGACGCAATAAGTACAGATCGATGGAGGGGCCAGTCGAACTGTATCGGCATCAAGCGGATGATGATTTCTGTTTGTGTGGTAGCCAGTGGCATCGTCATGACAGCACCTGGTAGAAGCCAGAAAAGAGGCCTGGAAAATATCGACTTGGCTGTGGCCAGTGCTGACGCTTTCTCGGGCAGCTCAAAGTTGAGGTTGTCCAACTCGATACCGTAGGTATACGGATCAATGCTTGTGATACAATCGACCCAAGGCTGTGTTTGCTTCAATGCCTCCGGTGTAAATACGATGAGAATAAAACCACCAGCAGATATCAAACTCAAGGATAAGAAGAGCGGCACCCATATAGATGAGGACTGGACAAGCTTTCCTGATAACACAGGCCCAACAAGCTGGGCGCCGAGAACAGATGCGACAACCCACTGAAGCCACGTTGATCTGACTGAATGGTCAGCAAACCGTACTCGTAGTCCCAAAAACAAGTATGACCTACCGCTTGTCTCCGGGTACAATATCCGCGATGATGGCAAATACCATAGCTTTAGCAACACTCCTGCCTCCGCCAAATAGCAAGGGAACACCGATGCCCCAAATGGCTTCGAGTGGGATATTGCCTGATTGCCAGCACAAAAACATGGCGTAGCCTTGGGAGAGAAGCATGCTGGATATGCTTGCACCGAGTACAGGAAGACGGCCGATTCGATCTGCGAGAAGCCCCAACGGGAAAGCTACCAAAGTGGCTGTAAAAAAAGTCTGCACGAGTACCTCAAAAAGTGTCTTAAATCGATGTTTGTACCAGAAATAGTGCCAGAGATTTGCATCCCTGTAACGATAAAGTTGAGCCTGTACTGCACTGGCTCATCTCGACACGATTCTTCGGGGAGGAGCTCGGGGCTATCGATGTGATAAAACTGTCTGCATACTATATTCTACATAAGTTTGATGGATGGAAGATCGCTTATAGAGAGGCCGAGCTGTATAATAAAGAGACATGTCGATAGAAATGGGAGCAGGTAAGCCTGTGGTATGGTGAATGGACGAGACCACATCATGGCATTTGTGGTGATTTGGTAGAGAGTTTCACATGTGCATATCCAGAGAAAGGACCAAAGAGACAAGAAAAGATTTGCTACTAGAAAAAATATTATACGGGTTATATTTCCCATTGTTTGATTGAAAATATCGATTTCAATAGAAACAATAGAGGCTACCTGGGAAAAAACGTAAACGCATCAGCACATCTTGACACTGGCAGGCAACTACAAACCTGCCTCTACAATGCGCTTGAATTTCTAACCAAGACTAATCAAAACTATTTGAAAAAATAAACTACCTTGATTGATGGGTCATAAATTGAATTGGTTGATATTCAACTTGGTGAACTGTTTTCCTAGGTGACTACAATTTCTAAAGTCAAAACTATCCAACAACTCAAACGTATCTAAATCAAGTGCGCGAAGATACATATCAAGATCCCCTGAGACTAAGTTTTAGCGCTGCTTTGTTTCTAATTCTGGTGTTCGAGGCGGACGAAATGGTTGTTCTTGTGAACAAAGAAGTTTGGCGAGAGCAATACAGTAGCTCACCAACAAAACAAATACAGCTAACAACTGAAACAAGATCAAAATAGCAACTTGGGACAATGCAGGCAGAGCAAGTATTTTGATGGTGTTTCTATGGGTATATTAACTCACATGTGGTCCACAGTACTGTTGTGCCTAGAACACACAATTTGTTTCCATCTTTTCATTCTTCACAGAGCAGGCCTCAGTACGACGAACATTTCATGTATAGAACACTGGTTGTTCAAATGGTGAATTCTACAGAACAATAGTATTAGAAAAATTTCATGTTACCTTTGGAAGGGACATTCATTCAATCATTTCTTCTACTATATTAATCGTATCTTGCCTGGCTGCAAGAGTCATTCTACTTTCTATTCTATAACCGCAACAAGCCTACACTACGACCGCCTTCTACCATCCAGTAAGTCCAGCAACACTTCAAACTCCAAGAAAGATAATAACCCATTCTTCAGTAGTAGCCATGTGTCGAGGCGAGAACGTCCAGTGCAAAGGGTGCTCACGACTGAGCACTCGCATCGTCCAACTCTGCATCCGCGGCGAGTTGATGGTGAACTGTCCCGAAATCATCATCGAGGGTGTCAGCCTGGAAAAGGAACAATGCCGTCTGTGTAGATACGGAAATACGAAAGGTAAGATCATCATGCCCCCCTCAGTACTTGCAAATGCTAACAACTATGACAGGAAATCTTGGAGGGCTTTTAAAGATCAACCCATGCCAGGGTCAGGGCCAGTTCGTCGGCCTCAAGGCCTGAAGTCTCGAGACAGTTCTAGTAACTGTTTGAGTAACGATGGTCAGAGCGAAGCACCATCTTGGGCACCGCCCCCCGAAGAACCGCAACCACGCTGCAGTATTTCGATTGCACAACAACAGTCAGATCTAAACCAAGAGATGAATCCTCTGGTGGCTGCAACTCAGGCCTAGAGCTCCAGAGGTCGATTAGAATCATCCAGACAAGGTACTGTGGGATCCGAGTTTCTTTTGTTGAGAAGCCCGCAATGAGTTGCAATTGTGGTTTGGAGATAGGTGGTGCAGTATGCTAGACTGATCTTTCCCCCCTATGAGATAGACACATGCATATCTTCGGCCACACAACACAACAGCATGGTATAGCCATCAAGACTTGAGAACTAGTATGTAGCAATTAAAACCTCATTCATTTTGCGCCGTGCCAATGTGTAAGCCACTTCCAGATATATTTACTAGGACCATCACAAAATTAGCCATTTCCAATATTCTCAACACCATCAGTCACGAATATGTAATTCTTACTGCTGATCCTAATTATACATATTTGTCATGTAGACCAAGGCAGCCTGCATAAGAGGCGTCATGACCTCTTGTTGCTATCCTTATTATCCAATAAAGGGCTGATAATTCAAACAAACATTGACGCAAGGGTCTGTCCCGATGGCAGGTAGGCTATTGGCTTTACTATAAACGCCATCAGGAATGATTAAACATCGGGCCGAGCCAGATTTATATGTCTTTGGAGTCCTCGCTCAGCCATGGCTTGGGTGGCATCCTAAATGTTGTTGGCAGAAAGCGATGCATCAATATTGATCATATTTGACAGCCTCAGCCCCAGCCCGTATTTTTAAGCTGCATATGCACGCAATATCCAAGGCACACCAATTAGCAGCCTGGACGGTCATCCCCACTAACTTGACACTTGAGATGATGCAAACTACAGCCGCGTTATGCCAGAAATGGTTGGCTGAAGGGATTGAACAGAGCTGAGCTGACAGGGGATGAGACTAAAGCTAGTGCAGAGTTGATAAGGACATCTCTCTCAGTAACGACACGATATAAATATTGGGTGAGTCCCGTGGACGAGAAAAGGTGAGACTCGAAATAACGTCTCAGACAGTTCCGAGACACAGTAGCCACTAATAACCCTTTTCTTTGTCGATCCCTTTTTCTCTTTGTCCTACCTCGATCCTGATCTTGATCGTGAGCCTGATCTTGTTCCGTGGAGCTGGGAGCCATCAAATCGCCCAGTACTGGAGAGAAAATTCCCGACTGTGACAGTGGCAAAGACACTGTTTATCGCCATAGCCACAGGATTTCCGTCTCAGTATTTGTGTTTACTGTAGGATTGGAGATTGAGTAGAAAATAGGAGGCTGCCGAGGGGCGCAAAATAACCGTCAACCAACACATGTTAGTTGATATATTTTAGTTTATGAGTCGGGGCCTGTTTTTGAGTTTCCACACGCAGCCACAGAAGGCTTAGAAAGTGAGTGAGCTTCTAGTTCATTTATGTGATCTCGGGAGGGCTGCAGGTTGCCGGTCAGTACAAAGTGTTGGTGCAACGTGAGCGACGGGAATGAGCATGAAATGTCCTTGTCATTCGTGTTGCTATAGGTACTGATGATTGAGATCCGTGCCATTATCAATTATGCCATAGTTTTGTAGGACTGTTGGTAGTTTAATTATTCTCCATTGTTTGATGAACCCTGGCTATAAGTTTGGAGAGATAAACGGGAGCAAAGGCCCGAAGAGTCACTAATGCACCACCCTGATGCTACCTACTGTAATTGCAGTGCACACAACACGTGGAAAGCTCAGACTGTTGATCATTGTACCCGTTTAGCATGTATCCAGGTGTACCTATGCATGTACAAACGCGCGTATTGCCGCTATGGACACTGCTTTCTTGTTAGTGAAATCGGGATTGTGATCGTCACCATCTTGCATTTTCCAAAGATACCTACCTATCGAAACTCGGATCCTATATTCCAGGCTCCGTTGTGACACCATTTGTATGAAATACTAGGAGCAGCCAACATTCCATTGATCCACGTGGCTTGTGGAGCAATTCAGTTGAGAGGAAGGTACCTTAAGTACCATGAGTAAAGTTCAGTTCTTGGTGTCTAGCGGGCTACTGTAGCGTGAGCATTGACCTGTGGTGGCTGGCAGCACAGGGGCCGGTATCTGATACTGGACGGTGCGGAACCGTAAAGTCTAAGCTAATGAGCTTGAGCAGCATTGTGAGCCTACGATCCGTCTGTGTGAGAATCGTATTAAGCAATAGAGACAGACCTGCTGTGAATTGTGCAGCAAGGAGTTACCCAGTTGCAGTGCGAAACAGGAGAATATCTGAGACAAAGAGAATGATACGTTTCAACTCCCAAGAGAAACCACGTTTCACAAGGAGTAAGGAACAACTTAAAATTCTACTCGGCAATCAAAAGTGCACAAGACTAGAAACATCTCCGCCGCACAGGCCTACTAATGTCAGTTAGTTTATGTCAAGACCACAATATGGAATCTGCATACTACGCAATGACGTTTATCGTTAGTCATGGACGATGGGAACCGTAGGGACGGTCTTGCCGAGGAAGCCATAAGGAGGCTTGAAGACTAACTTGGTAGCGAACATGACGGAGTAACTGTCCGACTAGGCTAGATGGGACATGCTAAAAGTCAATTAATTTGCCGTGCAGTAACTACAGAATCTAGGCGAGACTGTAATAGCTACGGAGAAAAGCCATTATTACCCAAAGCATTTGGCATGCTGCATTGCATGTACCTACTGTAACAGGAACCGTGCATGCTCAAATTACAGAAGCGAGAAACCTTCTCTTCCATCCTTTGACGCAACGTTAATCAATTAGATGCACAACACCGACACCACCAAAACTCCTGAATACTGGAGTCCCCCCTTATTACTCCAATTAAGAGAAAAAGAGTCCCTGACTCAAACCCTGCGATACTGCCTGGCCCTTGTCCAGGAACGGTGGGTGCTGTGGATCTGCTTCAGATCATGAGCCCAATCATGGCATCGTCTATCATCGCATCTTATCCCCAGCTGGGTTCGTGGAAACATCGAATCCATCCACCATCATCCCATCCCTGTCCTCAGCCTAGACCTCTTCTAGGCCTCGTCGCAAATCCCATCACTTAACAACCCTTCAGTGGGCGATGCGCTGATAGTGCCCGCGTTATGGTGTCGATTCTGTCCTCCTTTGAGCCATGTACCGACCTGTACCTCATGGCTTACAGACAGGGATGGACCCCTCCCCGGACAACCAGAACAGAACACTTCCAGTCCTTACTTTACTAAGTCTTAGCGTAGTCTCGTCTGGTCCAGGGGCTTGCATACATACGATCCGCCGCCCGAACGAGACCCTTAGCAGCAGCCGAGCCCGCAAGCTTGGACAAACAAGGAGACCTGATCGACAACGCTCACGCCTCTTCCTCAAACTGTTATCCTCTTCTGCCTTTATTCGTACCTCGCTCGGCCTCTTTCTTTTCCCCTCCTCTACTTTTGTCCTTATCACAGGTTGACTGTTTGTCCTGGTTGCCTATCTATCGCCTTTGCTTTTGCGATACTGCAACAATCTATCTAGGTATTATTTGGCGTCCTTGATCGTCTCTTGTTGCCCCAAAGTACGTCTATTCCCATTACTTCCCTTCCAGCTCGTACATTTCTTTTGCTTTCCCACCAAGCAAACACGGTCAATGTATGTAGCCAAACTGCTTCTGCTGCTGACCTGCAGTCACATTGGTCCCGCCAGCTTGCAGCGTTTGGCGCTTCCGTGTCCGTCAGCTATTGTCCCGCACAATGGTTGATTTGTCGTACATCTGGACTTGTGGTTACGCAAAAGCAACTCTCCGTTCCCTGCGCTCCGCTCTACTCCTGTGCTTCAAACTACGCCTCATGCGACTTTCGACTAACAAAAATCAGCATTGACCTGTCGGCCAATATCGTTGCCGTCTACCCACGGTGAATCATACTCATTCCCCCCATCATTTCGCAAGCCGGCAGGATAAGAGTTGGGGCCCCAATTCTAATCCTGTGCCTGCCCGATCCCGATTGCGCCTCACATCGCACAAGGCAATCGAAAGCCTACAGCGACCAGACCCTGTCCCCGACTTTATTTTTTCTTCTTTCTAGTGGTGACCTTTGCAGGTCTGCCCGCCAACAGATATAGACTGCAGCCATGGCGACCTCAAATGGCGACCCGAATGTGTCGCGGCCAACCTCTGGCATCATCTCTCCTCGCGACGTGAGATCTAGGACACAAAGTTTCTCCAGCGACCGACCTTCAACCATCGCCCACAGTCTCATGTTGTCACCGTCGTCTGTATCACCTACAGCGGCCTTCATTGCCGCGTCGGCCGCTTCCCAAATAATTACAAACGACCATGATAGCCACGCCGACACTTGGTATGATCAGCATGGGATTGAGCCAGCCAGCGAGCCCGCGCTTGTTACGATAGAGGCACTTCAACTTGTCAATAACTTTCTGGATCAATTACTTTTTAACTTTCTATCCAAGTCGCACGCTACCACACTCGCCAACCTGCGACCGGCCGTTTCTGAGGTACTGAAACCCAAACTAGCGAAAGACGCTGTCAACAACGCTGATGAGGAGCTGCGTGAATACCTTGGTGAAGGCGATGAGGAGGACTACGTTGCGCCCCAAGGCGACAAGGCGCGCGACTGGGACCTGGAACTGGTTTGGAAGCGCACCCGCCTTCGATGTATGGTCTACTCTTCTCTGGGTGACATGGAAGAGGAAGATGAAGACCTTTACATGGAACAGGAAAACCTTGAGCTTGGTGCCAATGAGCAGGCTAGCGAGATTATCTCACCTGCTGTCGCAATTTTCCTCACCTCTGTTTTAGAGTATATGGGTGAGCTGACCCTCACTGTTGCGGGTCAAGCCGCATACCACAGATTGCGGACGAAATGCCAGAAGGAGATCAGCGAAGGAACCCGAAACCCTTCCGATGTCGCTGACCGC